ACACACACACACACACACACACACACACACACACACACACACACACACACACACACACAAACACACACTCATCTGCTGCATGTGTGTCATGCTCCTGATCTGAGATCAGCATGTTCCTCATATCTGACAGCACAGGATCCAAACATTCAGTGCTTATTATGACTCATAATTTCACACAATCTTTTGTTCATTTTGGTTCTGCCTTCATTAAAGGATCAGATCAGACTGAGATGAGAATCAAACCCATGTGATGTTCAGTCTTTTGTGATTCAGCAGAATGTTCACGCTGCTCGTTTCATGCTCGGTTTGAAGATTGTGAGTCATGTGGGTTCATGAGGGTGATTCTCATGTTCACTTGATCATCCTTTAACACTGCAGACATGATGCTCTTCCTCACTTCCTCACTCCACTACAAACATCTAAACATTCGTAAATCACGATACAGTTACCAGAGTTGTACAATGATGTCAGATAAGGCTTTTTTTTATCTAATATTAGTGTGCATCTCCAGTAAATGTACAGTATCTTGATTGAAGAATGGTTAGATATTCCAGTAATTATGAAGTTTGCTCACTTTCTTGCATCACACATTCTTGTTCATTTAGATTTGTGTTTGAGAATTGAATAGTCACATGACCTCATCAGTGAGTGACGTCCAGTTACCTGCAGATAAGAACATTAGTTTGCATTTATAAATCAAATCACACTGGACATGGAAGGTCAAATCGAGCACATTGCATTGTGGGATACAGTATGTGATGATGTAGATCATTCCATGCATCCAGTGCACAGTGTACATGCTGCATACTGCAGATCAGTAGAATGTTAGTGAGTTGATGATCGCATCCTGAGCTCTAGATTCTGATCTCATCTGGATTTCTTGTGTGATTAACAATGTCTTTCTTCCTCTTATGGGCCACAGAAATTCATGATGAAGGTAGGAATCCATGTGAGTGTGTGTCCGTGTCCGTGTCGTTGTTGTGCGTCCCGCAGTGATATGATGTAGTGCAATGTAATGTAGCTGTACAGTGAGCTAATTCCAGTGAGACGAGAGCGAGTGCAGGAGTGAGTGTAATGAGAAAATAAAGGTCCTGTTCTTCCTGTCCTGAAGCATTACTGCAGCCATTACCTGATACACACACACACTCGGCCTTAAGAGAGCCATTAACACACACACACACTCACACACACACACACACACACACACACACACACACACACACACACACTCGGCCTTAAGAGAGCCATTAACACACACACACACACACACACATTCCCAGGAACATCAGCGTCACGATGGAAAAACACTCAAACGTATTTAGACTCATTTGACATATCGGCATTCTTCATGTTCGTTTATGGCATGTACATTGCTATTTGTTTTGTCCATTTATATGCAAATCGATTGTTTTGAAACGGAAGTTTTACAGAAAATAGCAGGGTAATAAATATTTAAATGGAATTGGTTTTAAAATTAAATAAGTTATGTATTATATGATTTTTAAATATTAGATATACTCTTAAATGTATAAAACAATCATTTAAATAAATATTTTAAATTAGCCTAAATACAAAAATAAATATTATAAATAAATATTTTTAAAAATACCCTACACACGTGCACACACATATTTTATATATAGAAATATTTTAATGTATATTTTAATATTTATATTAAAATATTTGTATACATAGACGTTTTTTTTTATATTTTATATATTTAAATATACTTTATGTAAATTTGATGTTATAATTAGATAATATTACATATTTGTGTGTGTATTTAGGGTGTTGTGTGATTTAGCTGTGAATGTGAGGCTGATGAGTGTCGTATTGTATTCAGTGTTATGAGTGTGTATCTCTGTGTGTGTGGGTGTGTGTGTGTTTCAGACGGCGCAGGGCGGAGGTCACCGGACGTTGCTCTACGGTCACGCGGTCTTACTGAGACACTCCTACAGCGGGATGGTGTGTGTTACTCTGACGACTCGTCACGTCTGAGTGTGTGTGTGTGTGAGATTCACGTGTGGATGTGTTTCTCTCTCCAGTATCTGTGCTGTCTGTCTACGGCTCGCTCATCCACCGACAAACTAGCGTTTGACGTGGGGCTTCAGGAAGACACGACAGGTGATGTCACTTCCTGTTTACATTCCCTGACTGAATGTTTCGCAGGAACATGTGCTGGTCATATTTCATCACAAAATCAGAAAACAGAAATAAAAACAATGAGAATGAAGCCTGTTCTCAGGACCATTAGAAGCATTGCGACATTATTTTCATTATTCTTATTCTTATTACTGTTATGCAGTGCCATTTTAGTATCATTGAGACACTTTAATAGTTTTTGTTTATATTTTGAATTATGTTGTATTTTCATGTTAGTTTTAGTTATTTTGTTGTGTTTTGTCATTTTTATTAGTTTTGGTTGTAAATGATCTGATTTATAACTATACTTATCCTGTGTGTGTGCGCGCGCGTGTGTGTGTGTGTGTGCATGTGTGTGTGTGTGCGTGTGCATGTGTGTGTGGGTGTGTGCGCGCGCGTGTGTGTGTGTGTGTGTGTGTGCAGGTGAGGCGTGCTGGTGGACCATCCACCCGGCGTCCAAGCAGAGGTCAGAGGGTGAAAAGGTGCGAGTGGGTGATGACCTCATCCTGGTCAGCGTGTCGTCTGAACGATACCTGGTGAGTTTTACCAGAATCAGAGCCTGATGGCTGCACGTCAGCTAAAACCCGTCAAAAACACGCTGATGAGTCTGAGGGCGTTTCTCTGTTCCAGCACTTGTCGTATGGTAACAGCAGTTTGCACGTGGACGCAGCTTTCCAGCAGACGCTCTGGAGCGTGGCTCCAATCTGCTCCGGCAGTGAAGTGGCTCAGGGTGAGTGAGTATTTGACACGCTAATGTCACGCTACATTCCACTTCCTGTTCATTTACTCAGCACCGTGTGTTTCAGGCTTCCTGATTGGTGGAGATGTTCTGCGGCTGCTGCATGGTCACATGGACGAGTGTTTGACCGTTCCGTCAGGAGAACACGGAGAGGAACAGCGCAGGTCAGGGTTCATCTATTATCTGATCCAGTGGCGTTCACTGATATAAAAGACTAGTTCACACAAATCTGTGATCATTCAATCAACCGCATGCTTCTCCAAAGCAGTGAATGAGGACAGATGCTGTCAAATGATGACACAAGTTTGGTGAACTGCGCCTTTTAGGGGTCTGTTTGTTCCTGTGGGTCAATGGTTCTCAACCAGGGGTCCGGGGTCCACCAGGGTCCTCAAGATAACTTAAAGTTGTTTATAACAAAATAACCATTAAAATAAGCTAAAATGGCAAAAAAAAAATTAATGCAGCCTCTCAACAGCTTAGTAATTACCCAGTAATCACAAAAAATTGGAAAAGTACTGTGGATTTGTTGGGTAAAAAGAGCAGGAACCCTGAGGAATATTCAGGTCTTATAGCTTCTAAAATGATGAAATCTGTTGTACAGAAACTTCAAATATGGTTGTGTCCAGTGGGTTAAAGAGGCTGAGAAGCGCTGATGTAGATGATGTGGAGAGTGTGTTGTGTGTATCTGGTTCTTCATGGCTCACTGCTCCATCTGGACCGTACTGTGTGTTGAGGTTGATTAAACACTCTTGATGGTTGAAGTGTGGAGTGTTTCGGCTCTCTGAGGGTTTCAGTAGGATGTCTTCATCTTCTGAGGTCAACCGCTGTGGCTGGAGGTTGTTGGCGTCCCTGTGAAGAGCTGGATATACATTTGTGCTCTTATACGAAGGGCCTTAAAGAGGACAAATCTTGGAAAAAACTGGATCAAAATAAAAAAAAAACTCCATGACATCTTGACTAACGAAATGAGATGAAGACGTGCAGAATATGAGCCCTTTAACATCGTACTCCAGTTATCTCTCGTAACACACCGTTGCTTCTCCTGAAGGTAAAGTAGGACGTTCTCTTGTTCTTCAGTAGAAACAGAGTCTCTCGGGTCTCTTCGTGAGGTTCTGTGAGACAGAATGAGATCTGCTGTGACTGCTGTAATTACAGAAACACCTGTCCTCTGTGGGACATCAGACACGGATAGAAATGCGTTACTCTGCTCCTCTCTCTACCGCAAACTATTTAACCCAGAATAAACAGATACCTCCTAAAATCACTCAAGTCATTCAACAGACACTTAAACATTAAAAATAAAATGAAAGCTAAATATAGTTTGGTTAGATGAACTTCTGATTATGAGAGCATATGTTATGATTATGAGGATCCGTAACTTGCATTGCATTGAATGTGTACATTTGATCAGTTCTTGCATTCCCTGGGAATCGAACCCATGACCTTGGCATTGCTCGTGGCATGATTTACTGTTTCAGCTGTATAAATCATTCGTTAGTATGAGTTTAAGCTCCTCAGCTTCACATATAAAGCTGAAGTCTGTTCCTCTCAGGGTTTGATGTTCTCTTTATCCGTGTTTCTCGTCACCGGTGGTCTTGAGCGTGTCACGTCTGCTTTTGAACGCATGAATTCAAAGAACGTTTCTCTGTATCCATCTATCTCTTTTAACTCGAACAAGAGATGTTCTTGCACAAGTATTACGCAAGTGTGTGTTTTGCGAGGAGCGCTGCATTGTGGGACCATGTTTGTGTGTAGGTGTGTGTGTCTTTCTCTTCACTGGTGTGTAAAGCAGCAGTAGTCAGACCAGAAATGTTCCAGCGCACATCGTGTTCCAGACACTGATTGTGATTCTTCAGACTGCAGTTTGAGGTCAGACACAGACCGTCAGGAGGAGACGTCGTGATGAATGATGCTGTCTTAATAATCATTGTGTGTATTTTTACTTTTTTTTGATCCACATCAACAGTCTGAGCTCTGCTTCTCAACCTTCAGCTGCCCTCAAGAGTCTCACACAGACTTGTTTTGTGCTGCACAGGAAGTGATGTCATTATTGTTCTCAATTCTTTGCACTACTTCTACTGTGCCAGTGTCAGAAATTAAGGAACAATTTTTGATTTTCAAGGACATTTTCTACCTTTCATTTTTTTTCTAGCCATATACAATTTCCATAAAATAAAATAAAATAAAAATCAAATACTTCAGTCAAATAATTTAACTGAAATTATAATTAATTTGTCATTCGGAACAATTATGGCTGTTAGGACTGATCTCTAATATCTGACATCTGACAAAACTCACTAATAACACATTTACACACAAGTATTTCTGCTTTAAATAGCAATGTACTGTAGATTTACAGTATGGACTGATGTGTAGACACTCATATGTTGGTTTTGTCTCCTGCAGGACAGTGCATTACGAGGGTGGAGCCGTGTCCATCCACGCCAGATCCCTCTGGAGGCTGGAGACGCTCCGAGTGGCGTGAGTGATGAGCGTTTCTCTGTGTGTGCTGATTCACGCGCTCAGAGCACTTCAGTGCTGAGGAGGAGCTCTTGAGTTCATGAGTGCACCATTACTGAGATCTGTGCTGGGGAAGAGTGCAATAAAGCATCTCTCAATGCCACGCCGGGGACACGGCCACAGCCACATTTGAATAAAATCAATCAATCAATCAAAATCATTAGCTTGCTTTTTTATTTCAGTTCATTTTTATTATTTACAAAAGTCTGGAGTAGTTAAGATTTTTCAATGTTTTTGAGAGAAGTCTCTTCTGCTGACCAAGGCTGCATTTATTTGATCGAAATACAGTAAAAATCTTGAGAAATTATCACAGTTTAAAACAGCTGTTTTCTATGTGAATATCTGTTGAACTGTAATTTATTTATGTGATCAAAGCTGTATTTTCAGCACCATTACTCCAGTCTTCAGTGTCACATGATCTTCAGAAATCATTCATATATGTGACCCTGGAGCACAAAACCAGTCATAAGGGTCAATTTTTCGAAATTGAGATTTATAGATCATCTGAAAGATGAATAAATAAGCTTTCCATTATATGATGGAAATATGATGATTCCGGTAGTGTTTCAGTTTATTAGTTCTATTTTAAATCCACACATTTAGAAACTGGACATGACATGAAAAGACACTCTTTATTTAACTCCATATGAACCTGTAGAGCACAGACTGACCGGCTGTACTGTGAGGTTCCCATCATGCCGCAGTGCTGATGTCATCAGGACTGATGCGTTCCTTCACCTTTGACCCCTCTGGCGTTTGCGTTCCCATGAAGCCTGCAGGACGTCAGCTCCTCTGCGTTCTGCTCTTCACAGACTAAAAATAATCCGGGACGCTGAAGTTGGAGCGTTTTATCAAAGTGGCATTTTGGGGTTGGGGCCAAATACTGGGGCAGGAGCCCAACACAGTTTACTTTCTGCTTTTGAATTACAAATCAGCGTCTGTTCAGGTTTTCATCGTGAGCATCTCGTCATTTTCTCATCCTCACGTTGAATCTCTGAGCTGCTGTTTGTGATGAAAGCATCGTAAGAGTAGATCGTATGCACTGTATATCAAGCCTTCTGAAACCAAATGATGCTTACTGTTTGAAAACCACTTGAATTTCAGTCATCATTAACTGATTGTCTTTACACTGTTCCTTTAGTACTCTGTCTGAACTCAGCAGTGGTTTAGTGTGTGCCGCAGAGCATTGTGGGTAAGCTGAAGCCTGTCCTCTGGCTGTGTGCAGGTGGAGCGGCAGTCACATCCGCTGGGGTCAGCTGTTTCGGTTGCGTCACGTGACCACCGGGAAGTATCTCAGCATGATGGACGATCAAGGACTCCTGCTGATGGACAAGGAGAATGCGGACGTCAAATCAACGGCTTTCTGCTTCCGTTCCTCAAAAGTGAGACTGACGCCACACAAACCTGAGCTGAACCTGAAATACCTCAGACACTCGTCATTAGATCAGTTCATCTGCATATGAGGATCAAAATGCGAATGTTAATTCAATTCTGACTCTGACTCAGTTCCTGAATTTGAATTGAATTGGTGTTGAAGCAGCAAACGGGATAAAGCCTTGGCCTTATGTGTTTTTATAATTAAAGAAAGAATAATTGATGGCTCTTAATTGTTTTATCAATATTGATTTATTAATATGAGTTTAGACAAAGCATGTTTTTTTTACGCACCAGTGATTAAAAATGCAATTATTTTTCTAATTATTATGGGAAAAAAAATAATTTTAATTAGAATTGTGAGATATAAACTCAAAAGATTGTTCAAAAAAGTTGCAATTACCTGTTTTAATAATTTAATAATTACACAGTTGTTAGCTTCCATTTTTGTGTTCATAATCAATCCGCATTTTTAAATGGACTTATTTTAATGATTTATATGTTGGTGAACTACAGTAAACTGTTGATCTGCGTGCGACTAAACACAGTAAATTTCTCTTCCTGTCATTTGAGTTCCTGTGTGTTGACAGCTATTGAATTCAAATTAAAAAAGGAAAACGGATTTTATATTGAGATGTTTGCTGACTGAACCAGTGTTTACCCATGATCCTCTGCTCGTCCTCCTGCAGGAGAAGCTGGACTTTGGCCTGAGGAAGGAGGTGGATGGGATGGGCGTCCCAGACATCAAATACGGCGACTCGGTCTGTTATATCCAGCATGTGGACACTGGGCTCTGGCTCACGTACCAGTCTGTGGACGCCAAGTGTGCGCGAATGGGCGGAGTTCAGAGGAAGGTGAGTGCGTGAACGTGGCTTTATATGAAAGCGTTTGACAGGATCTGAGCCTGTGTGAGTGAGTGTGTGTGTCACTGTGAGTTCAGTGTGATGGATTCATTCATACGTGACGCCCGTGAGCTGCTTCTGAGAGATTCATTACAGACGCGTCAGACTCTCACACCCTCATCATTAGCGCTGCAGCACACACACACGCACTCGAGTGGAGGATGAATGTAACGTACAGATATGTGTGTGTGTGTGTGTGTGTGTTTTAGGCCATCATGCATCATGAGGGTCACATGGATGACGGTTTGACGCTCTCACGATCACAACACGAGGAGTCACGCACCGCTAGAGTCATTCGCAGCACGGTTTTCCTCTTCAACCGCTTCATCAGGTAACACACACACGTTTACTATTGACTGAGGACTGTGATCTTCACAATCACTTCATGAGTGAATGATGCAGCTGATCACAGTGACGTCATTCAAGCACACGCTACAGATCTGTACCAACACGCATCACTTATTACCTAAACCACACCTGCATGAATTCATTTTTAAAACTGAGGAAACAGATAAAATTACACCTGAATCCAATTTTTTCAAACCCAACTGGACCCAAATGTCAAAAGCAAAAAATCTGCACATCTGTCTTTTTTTTTTAGTTGAATTTAGAACTTGGTTTGATTTAGTTGAGTCTGATTTCAACTGCATTTAGGTGTTTTTCTGTAATCAGTATCTGGCAACAGGACATTGTTTTTCTGCTTGGGCAGGAAATCATAATAATAACGTTGTCGTGGAATTGTTTAATATTTGTTTTAAATAATAGACTTTTTCTAGATTTCAGATCTTCCGGGGTCTATTTGGCACATTTGTTTACATTTTTTTTTTTTTATAATCAAGGCTCACTCAAGGCTACTAATATCAGTTTCCAAAGATTATCATCGTTAACTAAAACTTTGTTCAAAATTTATTTCAAATGAAATAAATTTTAACTGAAAAAACAAGGCAGCATTTCTCTTTTTTTGTTAGAGTTAAAGTTGAAGTACTAAAATAAAACTGAAATAAAAAATTAATAAAAAACCATTAGACATGTTTAAAAAAACAAAAATTCTAACTATTTTTAGAAAATAGAATAGAATCTATTCTAATTCAAAATCTAACTAAAATTAAAATTAAAACAGAAGATACAACAATGAAAGCTAATTAAAAATTTTGAATTCAAAAACCAAAATATTATCTTAATGATACTAAAATAACATCATCCTGGCCTGTGTCTGAGACACATCAAAGTTCTGGACACAAACGATCTATGTGGACCTGTGAAAACCTCTAATACACACACACACACAATCAAACACAAACACTCTCACACACACACACACACAC